AGACGAGGACCCTCTGGAGAGAAGCCCGGAGTTAGTTTCTCAGACTCAAGAGGCCATGGTTTTGCTCTGGGTTCGCACGATTAACCCCCGAGCAGCCCTGGTCCTTCAGGGCCGGCTGGTGCTCCGTGAACGAGACAGTGGATCAGAAAGGAGTCAGGATGAAAAGGCAAAGCTAAAACCTCCATTGCAGATTAGGAAGCGTCAGGTGCCCTGTGACAAGTATCTGGGGAAAATCAAGTCGCACGTTGAAAATGGGTTGTGAGTGTCTGTGTATGTGTGTGTTGGGGGGGGGGAGGGAGGCTGGTGGTGTAGGCTCTGTCCAGCCGTGGACTGACTTCCCGCGTGGACCGTGCTTATTTGCTGGGCGGAGAGGGGCGGGGCGGACCCTGGGGAGAAGAGGTGGGCGTGAGGCCGGCTTCTCTCTCCCCTCTCCTGCCCCGACGTGGGTGAGGGTGGAGAGAAAATGTGTCTACCGCACAGTGAGCCTGTCTCTGTGCGGTAGAGCGCGCCCGGCGGAGCTGCGGGGACCCGGCGCGGGGCGGAGGGGCGGAGGGGCGGGCCCGGTGGGTGAGCGCACGCGCACCCGAGTGCTGGTTCTTCTCTGCTTTTCTTCTCCCGCACCGGCTCATCCGCTGGCAGTGCCCTTCGCTCTAGTAGTTCCTCTACACCTCGCTCCGTGTAACAAAAGTGATAACCAACCCCCAGAAAGGCAGGGGAAGGGACACTCCTTTACATTTTTTTTTCCAGGCGGACACGCCTCCCACCAAAGCGGCGTCGCGCTGGTACTGTTGCTCCCTGCGGTGTCCGCCGGCTGTAAGTTCAGTCTCCTCCTCCTGGTCCTGGGGGTACAGCCGGACTGCCCCCGGGCACCGCTCTGTGTCTGGGCTCACGGCGGTGAGTTCCGGGTGTAAGTGAAGCGTCAATGGGGTGATTGGGGAGGGGGTGGGAGGGAAGGAGCAGAGAATGGGGGGATTAAGCTCGCAGACCTGGATGGTGTGCCACGCAGTTCGACCACATTCCCGCTGGGTGGCGACGCTGCCCTGTCTGGATTTCCAACCTTCCTAATCCTTCGGACCATCTTACCTCCTTTGCTTCTAACACTGAGCACCTGTACCTGTGATTTATTATGCCGACGTTTGCCACCCCCATGACTGCTGGCGGACATTTTGGGGCCCACCGACTCCTACCACCATCCTGACCTTCAGCAAAAGTCACCTTTCAGGTTTTTGGCGCTTTTCTCTTCTCATCCAGCTCTGTCTCCTCAAAGCCTTGAAAAAACGAGAGTAGCTTCTGACTTTCCCGTGGAGCAAGGTTGCTTGGACTCCTTCCTGCCTTTTCACACTATACCTACCCCTGCGATATTCACTTCTGTGAGCCATCCGACCCCTTCCTCCACCACCTGCCCAGACGTTCTGGCCGGTCTGCTCCAGGCACGGTAGCCACGCCCTTTTCCAAGCTCACAAGACGCATCCCAGCAGCAGGTGCGCACCATCGCCCAGGGCTGTGCTGAATCACGACACCCCAGTCGTGCATATGCCTTCTCCAACGTTGGGCTCTGTCCACATCCCCACCCCACTGTCACCCACCTTCATCAGGAGCAGCCCCCTACATGTCCCTGCAGGGCCCTGGCTAGCTCCTGACAATCCTCTGGCATCTAGGCTTTCTCCCATATCCACCAGGCACATCCCTGCACTGCTTATGGACTGACGGATGCTGGGTGTTGGCCTCGTGGACACAGACAGGACCTATCTGGGGAGGGGTGGTTTCCTGCCAGGCAGAGGCCTCCTGCTCCTCCTCAAGCAAAGGGAGGGGCCCCCGCCTTCACCTGGTGGAGGGAGAAGCCAGGCAGGATGGGTCCTTGCTCTGCCAGCCCAGCCATCAAGGGGATTGTCTTGCTGTCACAGAGATGGGGGAGGGCGTGTCTTGGGTTCTTTTCTTCCAATCCCAATCCTCACCAGCGTTTCTGTTTCTCAGATCCTCACTCTCTTCAGTATGTTCTCAAAATTACTTTTAATGGCCCTGGCTGGTGTAGCTCAGTGGATTGAGCGCAGGCTGTGAACCAAAGTGTCGCAGGTTTGATTCCCAGTCAGAGTACATGCCTGGGTTGCAGGCCATGACCCCCAGAAACCGCACATTGATGTTTCTCTGTCTTACTCCCTCCCTTCCCTCTCTAAAAATAAATAAATAAAATCTTTTTAAAAAAGAAATTTTAAAAAGTTGCTGATCAGCTGGCTAACCCTTTAAAAAAAAAAACCTTATAGGCAAGAAGGGTCTAGAAGGAAGTATTCGAAGCCATGAAAGGCAAGGACCTACATCCAAGATTACTCTATGCAGCAAAGCCTTCATTTAGATTGGAAGGGCAGATAAAGTGCTTCTCAGATAAGGTCAAGTTAAAGGAGTTCATCATCACCAAACCATTATTATATGAAATGTTAAAGGGACTTATCTAAGACAAAGAAGAAGATGACAACTATGAAAGGTAAAGTGACAACAAAGTCACAACTATCAACAACTGAACCTAAAAAAACTAAAACAAACTAAGCAGACAACTAGAAGAGGAACAGAATCACAGAAATGGAGATGAGATGGAGGGTTATTAGGGGGAGGGATAAGGGGTAGAAAGGTACAGGGAATAAGAAGCATAATTAGCAGGTAGAAAATAGACAAGGGGAGGATAAGAATAGTATGGGAAGTGGAGAAGCCAAAGAATTTATAGGTATGACCCATGGACATGAACTAAGGTGGGGGAATGTTGGTGGGAGTGGGGTGCAGGGCAGAGGGGAATAGAGGGGAGAAAAATATGGAACTGTAATAGTATAATTAATGAAATATATTTTTAAAAATTATGTGATGCATGAGAGTGAGGCCACTTAATAAATAGACACCTGTCCCAGGTCCTGCACACAGAGGTGTCGTTGGCTTCAGCAATCCACATTGTAGTCATTTCACATTCCCCAGATTTGTAACAGGAATAGAAAGTCTTTTTGTTAGTGAATTACTTGTGGCATGAGGGCTACACAGCAGGCAAGTTCAATGATCACCTTCTTACATTTTCCCCTCTTTGCTCCAAATAAATTGTTAAAACAGTATCTAATTCTCAATGAAATAACAAAGTACCAACCTTAAAACCTCTAAGGAAGCAGGCATGTTTTCTTTCCTAGCTCCATTTAATTGACAGCCTGGTGTGAAGACTGTGTATAGCTGGGCATCTATGAACTATTTCAGGCTTTGCAGACCAGAGTCTGTTGCAACTACTCAGCTCTGATGTTGAGGCATGAGAGCGGTGATAGACACTACCCGATATGGCTGGGCCATAAAACCCAACAGACCAGTGGTAGTAAAGGTATCTGTGGTAGGACAAGGTGCTATGGGGACTTCATGGCATCCCTACTGGAGACTCACAGCACAGTCCCCCAGTGCACAGAGGTAAGGCCATGTCCCTTGCAGCAGGGAAATGCCCACCATTAAAAGAGGCTCCTGGTAAAGCACTGGGGTCTGGTAGGGATGAGGCCTCTGGCTATGGACTCTGGGAGTTGTACGTCATCAGTGTCATTAGGCTAAACAGGCCCAGCTGTGACAAGGTAGAAGTGATTCTTTGGGTTTTGAAATGATCAGAGTCACAGGGACATATAAGATCAGAGACAGGTGTCCCTGATCTTAACACCAGAAATGTAGCATCAGCACTGCCCTCAGGTTACACCAGTGACTTCCTGCAGTGTCTCATGGGCCCCCTGGGACCAGGAATTCAGTCTGCAGAGCTCAGGGGAGCGGTGTTCTGTTCCTGCAGGACTCAGGCCCTCTGACAGTCACTCCACCCAGAGGACACAGGGCACCAAACTGTTCTGGGTCTTCAATGAACAGTGCACAGGTTGGGCAGGTCACCCATATCTCTGACACCCTATATACACCTAGTATTGGGTCAGCAAAGCATTGATAGTGCAGTGGCCATATCTGGTTCCCCATCTGTTTGCAAGTTGTCTCTGGCTGCTAGGGCACCATAAATGTGGAGTGTGTGGTGCAGGCAGAGACAGAAAGAATCGTCCTGCAATGATCATAAATAACATTACTATCTGTCCTTTCTCTAGAAACAGTTTGCAGCCTCCTGCCTGAATCTATGACCATTATATGCTGCTGCCTCCTCAGCAGGTGGAAGGTGTGGGTTTGGGACCGAAGAGGAGGGAGAGAGGGCCCTTCTCCACCAGCCTTCCCAGGTCATACTTTCCTAACCCTGGGTGAGCTGGGTGAGGAGCAGTCAGTCCCTGGGGAGGGAGGTGCAGCAAGGAGTGCCTGGGGCTGCAGGTTCAGGGAGCTGCTGCAGGGGGCGCTGGTTAGTTCACGGCGGGGAGCCCTGGGGATGATGGAGGGTTTGTGCTAAAGTCATGTGAGCAGGGTAGGGGCCTGTGGCTGTTTGTTTGTTGGTGCCTCTGGGTGGAGACCCTGCGGGAGCATCTACTGTTCTGATTACAGCGCGGGTGCCAGGGGGCGCTTGTTCCTATTTTTGCAGCTGTGGACCGGTGGGGGTGGGGAGGAGGAGTGCTGAGGCAAGTTGTGTTGGGAGTGTGTGGGGTGGGGGTTGGCTGTGTGGGGTGTCAACAGGGCTTGTAGGGTTAAGGAGGCATCTGTCTTCCTTCTCTCCTGGGCTGGTGCGGGTGCATGGGGGGAGAAAGTGAGTTGGGCGTTTGTGTGTGTGTGTGTGTGTGTGTGTGTGAGAGAGAGAGAGAGAGAGAGAGAGAGTGTGTGATAGATGTGTGTGTGAGAGTTTGAGAGAAGGAGAGACACAGAGTATGTGTGTTTGGGGGGGGGCGCCTGGAGTTGGGGAGCGCGGGCCGCCAGCGCACCAGTGAGTCGTGCTACGGCCAGTCAAACCGGAGTGGGTGCGGCTGCCCGCGGGGGCAAGCGGGGCCCGGCCTATGTTTCCGAGCAGGTGCTCACGGACCTCCCACTCTCCGTCCCCTCTCTCCTCCTTCCTCGGGTAACACTTCTTCACCCGGGTGGCCTACTGTCCCCCTCGCTCCGAGTACACAGACGACCCGCACTCCGGAAGAGGCCGCGGGAGGGGGACGACTTCTCGCGGACACTGTCCCGGGCGCTCTGTGCAGGCGCCTCTCCCCGAAGCTGCAGCAGCGTGGCGCTCGGACCCCTGCGCGCCATGGAGCCCACCGGGTCACAGTTGGGTCTCGCCCTGCTGGTCCTGGTCCTGCTGCCGGGCTGTCCCGGGGCAGAGGATTCTGTTTGCAATCGGCAGAGTGAGTTTGGGATGTAAACCCCTGGGTGCTTCAAGGGGCGGGGGGCTGGGGGCTGGGGACTGGGGGAGGGAGGGGGAGTAATGGGGCTGGGGGGGCACTAAGTTCGCGGACCGGACAAGGGACCCAGGGCCGTTCCAGAACCTTCAGGTCAGTGGTGATGCAGCCGCCTCCTTAGCCCCCCGCGAGGGCTCATTTCAGGTCGCTGGCGGGCCAGGTAGTTTGTTTCAGGCTAGAAGAGGGCGGGAAGGAGGGGGCTGGGGGGCGGTGAGGTGGGGCGCGTTCTCCAGGGGGAGAAGGGAGGAGGGAAGGGGGGCGCAGCAAGGAAGGCCGCTGAAGGTCACGGACCATCCCCAGGCCCCTCTCCTGCCCGGTTCCCGTCGTTCTCCTCGGGGCCTGAGAGCCCCTGCCCCATGACTGTGGCGTTTCCTGTGTGTCGTCACCCACACACCAGGGCACGCCGAGATACTGTGCTCTCAGGACTTTCCCGGGCAAAACCCCTCCTTCCTCCCCACTGCCCTGCCCCCTGAGCTTCCCGTGGGCTCTGCCCGCAGGTGCGCACACCTGCAGCCCGGCCGCTTCACCAGCCGCCTCCCACGGTGAGTCGCTGCCCTGAGCCTGGACCTCCGCGGCCCGGCCGGTCTGCCTGCAGCCCAGGTCACTCTGGCCACTTTCCTGCGGAGTCCGCCCCCTGCCCAGCTCATCTAGTTTTGTTCTTGAGTTTTTGATGTTGGTGCTCATCCGTTTCACTTTATCCAGGATAAAATACTGTTTTGACATTGTGTTTACAGAAAGGGGGAGACAGCTTGAGGATATTAGTTCTTAAATTTCCCTCCTATGGCAGCCTTCGGTCCCCAAATAGTTCCACAACTACAAAGACTTTTCATTCCTGTAGCAAACCTGGGAAATGTGAAATGATCACTGTGTGGGTCTGTGGACCAGCAACCCCTCCGTGGGCAGGACCCGGGGCAGGTGTTTGTTTATTCACCCACCCCCGGCCTCACTGTAGACTCTGTAAATTATGCGGACCCATGACAAGAGCAAATGGGAATGTGTGAGAAGCCCCTCCTCCCAGTGCACACCCACCCCTGTGCGGCAAGCCGGCCTGTGGGTGTTTGGGGAAGGAGTTCGCACTCTCACTCCCTGCTGGGTTGGGCGGGGGGGCCCCTCTCATTGCAGCCCCGCCTCTCTGTCTAGTAATGAGTTCAGGGTCTGAGAGTGGCTCAGCCCTGGGAACTGGCGGAAGGATTCATTCTTTGGTTGGGAGGCCATTTCAGCCTCCTCCTCATCCATCCTAACGTCTTGTCTCTGTTTGTTGTAATTATTCAAACCCATCTGTAAGTATCCAGGCTGGGTGTCCATCCATTTTGCATCTAAGATCCCCCTGTGCTCTGAGCCTTAGCCACTGCTCTGTGGCTGAGTCACGTCTGGATTTCCGACCTTCCCAATCGTTTTGAACATCTTACCTCCCTTGCTGCTGACCCAGAGCACCTGTACCTGTGATTTGTTATCTCGACATTCACCACGTCCATGACTGCTGGTGGACATTTTGGGGAACACGGACTCCTACCACCATCCTGACCTTCAGCAAAAGTCATCTTCCAGCTTGCTGAGAATTCTGGCGTCTTCTCATCCATGCTCTCCTCCTAGGCTCAATAAACGAGAGTTAGCTTCTGGCTTTCCCATGGAGCAAGGTTGATTGATTCTTTTCTGCCTTTTCATATTATACCCCCCCCTGCGATATTCATTTCTCTGCGCCAGCTGACCCCTCCTGTACTACCTCCCCAGAAGATCTGACCGTTCTGCTCCATGCACGGTAGCCACACATTTTTCCAAGCTCACAAGACCCATCCCAGCAGCAGGTGGGCACCATCGCCCAGGGCTGTGCTAAACCATGATCCCTAATCGTGCACTCTCCCTTCTCCAATGTTGGGATCTGTCCATTTCCCCCACCCCACTGTCACCCAGCTTTGTCAGGACCACCCCCTGCATGTCCCTGCAGGGCCCTGGCTAGTTCCTCACAATCGTCTGGCTTCTAGATTTTTCCTCCAAAGCTGCCTGTCATATCTCTGGATTGGTTGTGGGCTGAGTGATGATGGATACTGGCCTGGTGGGCAGAGGGGACATGTCTGGAGACGTGTGGTTTCTTGTGTGGCTTCTGCCAGGCAGAGGCCTCCTGGTTTCCCTCAAGCAGGGGAGGGGAGCTAGCCCTCACCTGGTGCAGAGAGGCGCCTGACACAGTCAGTGCTCGGTCTGCCAGCTCAGGTGTCAGGGGGAGTCACTTGTTGTCACAGAGATGGAGGAGATGCTTATGGTCACTTTCCTTTCAACCCCAACTTTCACCTGCACTTTCTCCTTCACAGATGCGCCTTCTCTTTGCTATACATTCAATGTCTCTGCCAGTGGACCATCATGGTGTGTGGTTCGAGGCAAGATCAATGGGACCCCATTTTTAAAATATACCAGTAGAAGTCTGAAGGTCAAACCCATCGGTCCCCTGGGGGTAATGCTGAGTGCCACAGAGGCCTGGAATCAACACGGTGAACATTGGAAGGACCTGGTGGAAGAGCTCCGCAAGGCACTGCTGGACAATCAACAAAAGATTTTTGCAGCCTTTCGTAAGTTTGTGCAATCCAGGGCAGAAGTAGGATAGTGTTGTAGGAGTAGGGGACTATTGTGTTTATGTAAATAAATAAATATTGGAATTTATTCTACCCAAGAGGCCCAGGAGCCAGGGTAGGACACAGAGGAGAGAGCAGGACCAGGAGACAGTGGGGGAGCAGCGGGCTGGGTACCAGGTCAAGATGGAAGGCTGACCTCTTTCCCGTGGGGGGTGGGGACAGATTCTCTCTCCCTGCAGGGCAGCATGATGTGTCAGCAGGAATGCAATGGACGCTGCAGTGCATTCTGGGAGTTTGGCTTCAATGGACAGATGTGTCTCCGCTTTGACTCAAAGAACAGACGCTGGGCAGAGTTGCATCCTGGATGTAGATTGTTAAAGGAAACACTGGGCAGTGACAGAGATGTGACCAATCTCCTTGTTGGGATCTCACGTGGAGATTGTGTGAAGCTGCTTCATCAGAGCACAGTTCTGGACACAAAAGGTAACTGCAGAGGGGATACTTGTAGGTCTCTGGAAATGGCATTGACACTGTGTCTGTGTTTCTGTGTGTTGTGTGTGGTTTGAGAGAGTGATCCAGCCACAGTGGGTTTTTCTTTTCATTAAATAACAGCCACAGGTGTATCCCACATCCCTCCTTTACCCTCTGTCCTCCTCGAACCCCCCCCCCCACCGCACAGAGCCGCGGACACGCCCTGTGGGTTTCCTGCAGACCCCGGCCGAGTGGGCCTTGTTTTCTCTTAGTCCTGTCCCCGGCGCTGTGCCCTCCTCTCGCATCACTTCTCTCTCCGTCTCCCCTGCTCTGTTTCTGCAAGTCCTTCATCCGCCTCAGATGTCAGCTTCTGTGAGGACTGTCTACCACCTTCCTCATATGTCACCCCCTCTTCTGTCACAGCAGGAGGCACTGGGTATGCTGTGACCCTGCTTCCCCCATTAGCTGCAGGAGCCCAAGGGGACGGGGCCCATCTCCTCTCTTTGTTCCAATCCCGGGACCTGCCACAGTGGCTGCCACAAGTAGAGGGGTGGAACCTGTCTGCATCGTAGGGTCACCTGGGGCAGCAGGGCTCAGGGGGCGTCTCCTCATAAGTGAGGTCTGGACAAGGCTCACACACTGGTGTTTCCATCTCAGCTGAACCAACCACGGCCCCAGCTAAAGCCCCAGCCCCAGCCCCATCCAAGTTCATGACCATCACGCACAACACATGGTCTGGATCCTCACTCCAATTTTTATCTTAATCCCACTTGGCATCCTAGGCTGGGTCCTTACAGTAACAGGTACAGAGGGCAGAACTGAGTGGGAAGTGAGGGGCCGATGGCCTGCAGTGAGGACAGGGAAGGTGAATTCCACTCCTTCCTCTGCCCCTCCCTGAACCTTCCCCTCCTGGGAATGTGACCAGGAGAATAAGACCAAACACCACTTGACAGCAGTCACTTGGACAAGCTCAGCCCTGAGATCTGCTGTCTCCTCACTGTTGGTGTCAGAAGGACAGGCAGGGGCCCACACCAAGGCCTAAGGCCTGCTGATACTGCAAATGTTTAGTGATTCAGTCCTGACTCAGAGTCTCTGTTGGGAGAGTGTTTGGGCCCAGGGTGGGTGGTGTGGGGACAGCAGGTGCACAGGGCAGGTCAGTGCTCACATTCAGGTGAGGGCAGCATGGTGGCTGCATGGGATGTGTCTAGGGGATGGGCACTGTCCAGGGGGCTAAGAGGAGGGGGCCTGGGTCTAATCCCAGGAAGAGGGTGGGGGGACTTGCAGACACAAGTCAGAAGGCTGGAGTTCAGGTCTGTGGTCCCAGAGAAAGTAGTTTCAGGACATTAGGCAAGGCAGTGGTTGAACAGTAGGGACTGTTCAGGCTGAGGTTTGAAGGGGCCACTCCTCTCTGGACTCCTGGCTGAGCCCTGGTGTGATCACCTGGCATCCAGTCTCTTCCAGACCCCAGATCCAGAGCCCCTGAGGGGCCCTGCCCTGAGCAGAGGTGACTGGGGAGGTGGGTGGGGCTGAGCTGCTGGTGGAGGGGGATGCAGACAGCTGACTGCAGCAGGAGTGCATGGGGCAGGGCAGGGACAGTGGGTGTCAGAGTGGTGTGCTGGGACTGGGCGAGGAGAGCAGGAGAGAGGAAAGGAAGATGTTTGTCTGCATCCGTCCCCAGTGCTAGAGCATCAGGATGCAGGCCCCTCTCTGCACAGGGCTCCTCATCGGTGTTGTAGGATCAGGGCTTCAGTGGAGGGAGCAGGGCAGTTCATGGGCCCCTTGAGTCCTCGCCCCACCTGTCCTAAGCAGGGTCTGA